CATACGTGCAATATCAATGCAGACATAAATTTTAATCCAGAGATTTTCTCTCGTTCACAAAAGAGACCTTAGATTGTGTTGGCTTAGATTTGTGTTCGCAAGTATGACAGCTTCGTGAATAGGCCGCCTGGTTCCCAAATACTCCATGTCACGCAGGATACTAAATACATGTTCCTGTGGCTACTAATTAACCCATGTCTCGCAACACTAAAAATAAATGTTCCTGTGGCTACTAATTGCCCCATGTCACGGAACACCTAAAATACATGTTCCTGTGGCTATTAATTAACCCATATCGCGCAATACCCCAAATACATGTTCCTGTGGTTACTAATTAACCCATATCGCGCAATACCCAAAATAAATGTTCCTGTGGCTACTACTTGCGCCATGTCACGGAACACCCAATATACATGTTCCTGTGGCTACTAATTAACCCATGTCTCGCAACATTAAAAATGAATGTTCCTGTGGCTACTAATTGCCCCATGTCACGGAACACCAAATATACATGTTCCTGTGGCTACTAAATAACCCATGTCTCGCAACACTCAAAATACATTTTCCATGGCTACTTATTAACCCATGTCTCGCAACACTAAAAATAAATGTTCCCGTGTCTACTTATTAACCAATCTCGCGCAACACCCCAAATACATGTTCCTTTGGCTACTAATTGCCCTATGTCACGGAACACCCAAAATACATGTTCCTGTGGCTACTTATTAACCCATATCGCGCAATACCCAAAATACATGTTCCTGTGGCTACTAATTGCGCCATGTCACGGAACACCCAATATACATGTTCCTGTGGCTATTAATTAACCCATATCGCGCAATACCCAAAATACATGTTCCTGTGGTTACTAATTAACCCATATCGCGCAATACCCAAAATAAATGTTCCTGTGGCTACTACTTGCGCCATGTCACGGAACACCCAATATACATGTTCCTGTGGCTACTAATTAACCAATGTCTCGCAACACTCCAAATACATGTTCCTGTGGGTACTAATTGCGCCATATCGCGCAATACCCAAAATACATGTTCCTGTGGCTACTAATTGCGCCATGTCACGGAACACCCAATATACATGTTCCTGTGGCTACTTAATAAACCATGTCTCGCAACACTAAAAATACATTTTCCGTGGCTACTTATTGCCCCATGTCACGGAACACCCAAAATACATGTTCCTGTGTCTACTAATTAACCTTTGTCGCGCAACACCCCAAATACATGTTCCTTTGGCTACTAATTGCCCCATGTCACGGAACACTAAAAATACATGTTCCTGTGGCTACTAATTAACCTATGTCGCGCAACGCCCCAAATACATGTTCCTGTGGGTACTAATTGCCCCATGTCGCGAAACACCAAAAATACGTTCCTGTGGCTACTTATTAACCCATATCGCGCAATACCCAAAATACATTTTCCGTGGCTACTTATTGCCCCATGTCACGGAACACCCCAAATACATGTTCCTGTGTGTACTAATTAACCTATGTCGCGCAACACCCCAAATACATGTTCCTTTGAATACTAATTGCCCTATGTCGCGGAACACCCAAAATACGTTCCTGTGGCTACTTAGTAACCCATATCGCGCAATACCCAAAATACATGTTCCTGTGACTACTTATTGCGCCATGTCACGGAACACCCAAAGTACATGTTCCTGTGGCTACTAAATAAACCATGTCTCGCAACACTAAAAATACATGTTCCTTTGGCTACTAATTGCCCCAAGTCACGGAACACCCAAAATACATGTTCCAGTGGCTACTAATAATCTCACACTAAAAATACATGTTCCTGTGGGTACTAATTGCCCCATGTCACGGAACACCCAAAAAACGTTCCTGTGGCAACTAATAAACTCACACTAAAAATAAAGGTTCCTGTGGCTGCTCATTGCCCCATGTCACGGAACACCCAAAGTACATGTTCCTGTGGCTACTAATTAACCCATGTCTCGCGACAATAAAAAACCCGGTACCTGTGACTTTTAATTGTCCCATATCAAGCAACACCCAAAATACATGTTCCTGTGGCTACTAATTAACCCATGTCGCGCAACACCTAAAAAACATGTTCCAGTTCCTGTATATATGCCGATTGAGGCCGGACTTTATCTTTCGCACATGCTACAGGGACCATAACAGCAAGCATGTTGGCAGAGGATCTGATCTCCCTTGGCCACGTGGTTGGTTGATTGGTTGGTTTGGTGTTTTGCGCCGCACTCAGTAATATTCGAGCTATATGACGGCTGTCTGTAAATAATCGAGTCTGGACCAGACAATCCAGTGATTGATATCATGAGCATCGATCCACGCAATTGGGATCGATGACATGCTTCAACCAAGTCAACGAGCCAGACCACCCGATCCCGTTAGTCGCCTCTTACGACAAGCATAGTCGCTTTTTACGGCAAGCATGGGTTGCTGAAGACCTATTCTACCCCGGATCTTCACGGGTCCTTGGGCACATTGATTGTGGTTGAGTTATGTTACTGTGAAAGAGTTATTGGTGTTTATTTGTGGCTGTGTCACGTTCTCTCTTTCGCGTGATGAGATAAACATTACGGGAACGGGATATCCTTTTTTTGGCGAACAGGTTTTGTTATTATCCCCCGGATTATTCGTTAAAGTTGAGTTTCTGCATATCAACAATACAGGACAGCATGCAAATGTGACGTCACGTACTAATAATTGTTGATGGCGTCGTTTGCTAATAGTCACTGTTGACTACTTGGATTTATGTAAACGAACTGAGTAATTTCTCCCTATATATATATATATATTTATATTTATATATATATATATATATATATATATATATATATATATATATATATATATATTTAGCCTACAGGCCTTAATATAACTTAAATACGGTTCAAATCAGAGTATAACCACACCTGACTTCCACACTATCTCACTCACACATATTCCCCGCCTGTGTAACGCTGTTATTCCCTTCTATGACAACATTTGTCTGTTATGATATATAATTGTTCCTGTGTCTGGTGCTTAATTTCATTCCACCGACGAGTGTGATATGTCAGCAATCGGGGTCATCACCACAACATTTATCCATTCTCGTTTTCAGAAAGGTTGAATAACAAATTAAACGCCTGCTCCAACACATCAGGACATATGAAACTCATACAGACACTCATCAACTCTCCGTCCTCCACTTACACTTGTCGAGTGTCCTGTCTGGATTCATTATGTAGCTGCACTCCCTGACAAGGCATTTGTGCAGTGTGTGTGTCTACGGCAACATCATACATGGGATGTATCCCCAAATAGGGAATAACTGACGACATACGAGGAAATAAGGGGCATTCTATGAAATAGAGCAAATACTAGTGTGCTGTACACATATAAATGTTCTGCCTACACAATTATACACGCATTCCTTTTAATATCAAGTGCCATGTTAATACAGACACGTGTCATGTCATCTTATGGGTGGGGCTACTGCTGCAGATCCCCACCTGCAACTAGTAGGCTCTGATGCCACCAATGAGGTTCTGTGGATATGTTCTATCCCGGAACACCGCAGATCATGTAGGATGTTCCTGTCGCACTAAGAAAACAACTGATCCCACGATCGTATTGCTGGACGAGATGCTGTAATAACATGATATGGATAACCGAAAATAAATAGATAGATAGATGGATGAATAAAGGAACAGATGGATGAATAAAGATATAGATGGATGAACAGAAGGATGGATAAATGGATGAATATGCTAAGGTGGGGTAAATCTGGACATGATATTGCCGATGTAAGTAGTTCTATGGGAGAAGTAATTTCCAGCTTGAAGTATTGAAGTAGGTCCAAGGGCAGTGGTTGAGTCCAAGGATTAATGCGTTTGTTCGTCACAGTCCTGGGTTACAACATATATATAACATGCCGTCTAATCTTACTAAACTCACTGGCGTTTAAACCAAAGCAGGACATTTTGGTCTAAATGTACATCGGGGGCGGTCGGGTAGCCTAGTGGTTAAAGCGTTCGCTCGTCACACCGAAGACCCGGGTTCGATTCCCGCCATGGGTGCAATGTGTGAAGCCCATTTCTGGTGTCCCCCCTCCGTGATATTGCTGGAATATTGCTAAAAGCGGCGTAAAACCATTCTCACTCACTCACTAAATGTACACCGAAAATAGACACCAGTACTGGTACTGGAAAGCAACTATATTGACGAGATAAACGCACGTTTGTATTTTGAACAAATTAATAGTTTACACATCGTACTCGCAGTCACAGAAGCATTGATAATTCATCAACTTTACCGTGGGCATTCAGTATATGACAAGTCTAAGATGAGACTATTAGGGACTGCTCAGCGTGTGTACAGAACACATATAACTGGAAATGGAATGGATGCCTGAATATTTGATAGCTTGGTAAGCAGTATCAGTATATGTTGTGGGAGAAATGACGGAATGTTGTTGAAACCTGAACGTAGCTTTGATTGTGACATTGTTAAGTGATTATAACTTAACGCTGCATCAAATTCATGCAGGGAGGATTGTTTAGTGAATGATTGGACCAACAACCGAAATAGCAATATAATACTTGACTTAGACAACCTCAGGTGTAATACAATAATCATAACACACACACATCTTTTCAAATACCATATCAACAAGGCGCGCCAAGACATATTTCCTGTATACAATGTCATTGTTTCATGTTGATTCAAACATATTTTCAAAGGAAAAAGATATGGCACAGGTTTTCACAACTTAGATAGCCCTCTCCCCAAATGTGAAGTTTATATGCTTGTGGACAGCATGAACAACCGTACATTTAACACATCAGGGACAAGCTTTTTCATTAATTTCAGTTATGCTATTTAACAATTATTACTATATTTTTTGCAGTTTTATAAAATGGATATATTGGTCTGATGGCCACATGTACGAGTTTAATATGTCTGTCTGTTTGATTCGACGAATTATTTTGAGTTGTCTTACCTTTCTACGACGATTCGCAGCGATCTTTATCGCCGCTAGATCCACCAGACGGACAGACATTTTAACAAGAGTTAATCCCGATTGTATGATTCAGCTGTTATTGCATGTAAGTCCAACACAAGATCCTGCGGGGATCCTACTGGGTAATGTGGCACTTTGGGAACTCCGCACATTTCACCTTCAGTTTGTAGTGGTGGTAAGGCATCGCCAAAGCCTCGTTTAAAACACACTGACAAGCTTTATAGTTTAGAACCGTGGCTCATCAGGATCATTAAACTATCAACCTCAACGCAATGTGTATCTCTGCAAGATAACACTTACATTCCCCATGTTGAATCGCTATTTAGTGGCAAGAAATAACATCCTCTTTCACATTTCACTATAAGAGTCCGGGTTCATGTGGGCACTTCCTCCTCCTCAGATATTCGTATTCAATGTCATCCTTTTAACCATTGCCCGAAGACATTAGATACTGCTGCAGTGTATGGTTATAACATTATTCCCAGCTTAGAACGGTACATAATGATGCGATCTCAAAACCTTATTCTTGCATTTTGAAACCCAAGAGACAATCCTTAATACTCAGGTCAGGATTTTCAGAAATAATAATTTCCCTAATCACTGTCAAGGGCGAAAAAATCCTCCAGCCTGTGATATGCGTGATTGTTTTCCATGAACCTAGGCCTCAGACACTCCAACATCAATTACCGTACATGTGGACGTGGTGTGTATTACAGCCTTATTTATACGAATTGTTGGGGACCTGACTTTTAATATGATGATAACAGCGGGGCTTATTTCGTAATCGTGAGTCCTCGTGAATGCTTTACTAGTTATTATTTATACATGTACTTCACAGCAGGTACTGATATTTGCGATACATTTGTTGATAGAACGATTAAGACACTCCTGAGACGAAATGAATAATTGATAGATCGAACGGTAATTATTAGCTTTGTAAGAGTGAGTGAGTGAGTGAGTTTAACGCCGCTTTGAACAGTATTCCGAGTATACTACGGCGTGTCGGTGTGATGCAGGACTTTGATGTTTACCAGTTTGGTGAGACCCACGAGTACGTTGAGCAGCTCGAGGCGCCTTAGACATTAGCCACCCGTGTCCCAATCTGGTGCTGATATATTATATTTGTAATAAAATTAACTTTCGTATATCAGTGCATTCAGCGTATGTATAAAGTATGTATATAGCAAGTTCCTGACGTTGGCTTTATTTAATATGTTGATCAGGAAAAGGCGTTGTTGATCTTTACCTTGGCTTCACTGATGTATGATACCTGACAGATTTCCGGTGTTGTTGTTTTTGTGTCTAAACCTTTTAACTCAAATATAAGCCAATGTCTGTTACATCCATGTTATGATATTTGAATTTTCCAGTTCTGTTGTGGACCTCATGTCAGATGGGTGTGTGAGTCTAGTTTAACGTCGCTCTGAGCAGAATTGTGGATATATGATCGTGTGCCAGTCCAAAGTGTCACAATTCGAAAACGTTTAGCACTTTGGTGCGCCTACTTTTGTACACCACGGTATGGTGCTGTCCACGCTATGTGCTGACCACAGTATGGTGCTGTCCACGCTATGTGCTGACCACGGTATGGTGCTGTCCACGCTTTGTGCTGACCACGGTATGGAGCTGACCACGGTATGGTGCTGACCACGGTATGGTGCTGTCCACGCTTTGTGCTGACCACGGTATGGTGCTGACCACGGTATGGTGCTGTCCACGCTTTGTGCTGACTACGGTATGGTGCTGTCCACGCTTTGGTGCTTTCCACGCTATGTGCTGACCACGGTATGGTGCTGACCACGGTATGGTGCTGTCCACGCTTTGTGCTGACCACGGTATGGTGCTGTCCACGTTATGTGCTGACCACGCTATGGTGCTGTCCACGCTATGGTACTGACCACGGTATGGTGCTGACCACGGTATGGTGCTGTCCACGCTATGTGTTGACCACGCTTTGGTGCTGTCCACGCTATGTGCTGACCACGGTATGGTGCTGTCCACGCTTTGGTGCTGTCCGCGCTATGGTGCTGTCCACGCTTTGGTGCTGACCACAGTATGGTACTGTCAACAGTATGGCGCTGACCACCGTGTGATACTGACCACTGTATGGTGCTGTCCACGCTATGTTGCTGACCACGGTATAGTGTTGACCACGGTATGGTGCTGTCCACGCTATGTTGCTGACCACGGTATAGTATTGACCACGGTATGGTGCTGTCCACAGTATGGTCCTGACCACGGTACGATGCTGACCACGGTATGGTACTGACCACGGTTTGTCACTGACCACGGTATGGTGCTGTCCACGGTATGGTGCTGTCCACGCTTTGGTGCTGACCACGGTATGGTACTGACCACGGTTTGTCACTGACCACGGTATGGTGCTGACCACAGTATGAGACTGAACACACTATGGTGCTGTCCACGCTATGGTGCTGAACACGCTATGGTGCTGACCACGGTATGGTGCTGACCACAGTATGAGACTGAACACGCTATGGTGCTGTCCACGCTATGGTGCTGACCACAGTATGAGACTGAACACGCTATGGTGCTGTCCACGCTATGGTGCTGACCACAGTATGAGACTGAACACGCTATGGTGTTGTCCACGCTATGGTGCTGACCACGGTATGTTGCTGACCACGCTATGGTGCTGAACACGGTATGTTGCTGACCACAATATGTTGCTGACCACGCTATAGTGCTGTCCACGCTCTGGTGCTGACCGCAGTATGAGACTGACCTCGCTATGGTGCTGTCCACGGTATGGTGCTGACCACGTTGTGATGCTGACCACAATATGGTGCTGTCCACGCTATGGTACTGTCCACGGTATGGTGCTGACCACAGTATGATACTGACCACGCTATGGTGCTGTCCACGCTTTGGTGCTGACCACGGTATGAGACTGACCACAGTATGGTGCGGACCAGGGTGTGGTGCTGTCCACGGTATAATGCTGACCACGCTATGTTACTGACCACGGTATAGTGCTGACCACGCTATGTTACTGACCACGGTATGGTGCTGACCAAGCTATGGTGCTGAACACAGTATCGCACTTACTACGGTATCGCACTGGCCACAGTATGGTGCTGACCACAGCATCGCAATGACCACGGTATGGTGCTTTCACGGTACGGTACTTACCACGGTATGGTGTATATGCAAAACGAACCTGCATATACATACCAGCTAATGATTAGAAACGCCACAACCCTTTAAGAATTCCTTTAATATTTCCAGCTGTGACCATGATCTTGGGTTCGAATCCTAGATTCGCCCTGATTAAGTTCTCGGTTTTTCAGCACCATATCCGTGCTCGCTCGTGTCACAGTTGTGAACCTCTAGGATCTGCATCACCTCGGACTATCCACAGCAAGCTAACACATCGTGATATAACTGAAGAGCTGGTCTGTGCACACATCCATAAAAGGGTGCCCTGTGTCTGCACACGCTTACAGATGAAACACAACTAAATATAGTATAACAGTATGAGGTATCACGAACCCCTTACCTTGCATTTATCAGAATGCCAATCTGCTTACGTGGACAAAGTGAACAAGAACCCAAAGGTCCCCTGTTCAAATCCAAGCATGGGGCCTGGATTTGCTGAACTGTATTGGATATTTATCAAAGGTCATCCGTAATTAATATGTCTTTATGATTCGGCTAGCTCCACGTAGTAACGTCGGCTCAGGCGATAAAGCCAGCCTAATTATATAGAAGAGTATATTAATGCATTAAAACGTCATTGCAAATTCAGCATAGTTCTGGGATTGGTTACAGAATAACATACATCTACAAATAACCAGCATACTATTGCATTTAGGCCAAACCTGATAATGCCAGCTGAAAGTTGTTTATTAGGCACAGGTCAGTAGCGATTACTGTCTCTGTTCCCTTTGAACTGCAATTCCAGGCACCAGGGATCGTAAAATCCAGGGATCATCTGCTATGGTTTATGGTTTCATCAACGACGAAGCTGTCGCAAATGTTCATAACACATTAAGACCATAAATACTTGAGGGTGTATGAGTGAGTTGGGGTTACGGTGTTGTATTGTGATGACTGTGATGCTGATGAACCAAGGGTCGTAATCGGTTCCAATCTGTTATTCGCATAAGTGATCAGCACATTTTTGCAGAACTATGGGGCAACTCCACATGGACAATAACGGCGACTTCGAAAAGGAAAGAGTAGAGTTCAAGATATGTAAAACCTTGGCGCAGCTTGTTCATTTGAAAAACATCCACAACCTACACGGAAAGAATTGTGTGTGATTGATTATAAATATTGATTCCAAGTCCGAGGTGGCTATCGAAAATACATACAGAGTTATCTGTCCACAGAGATAAGCGGGGTATCGTATTCAGCCATACCCTATCTCATATGGCAATTAAAGTCATCTTCTTGCAGTCCCGAAATCAGTATGAATTATTAGTAGGCCTGGTGTCTGCCATTATATAATATAAAACGCTTTCTCGATTATCCGCCGATACAAATTCCATTGGGCGTAATAGGCAAAACATATCGCAATTTTTTGAAATTTGAGAACATGTTTTGATGTAGCGTGTGTGCTGGAAATGAACACCATGGTTTTCTGGCATTTCACGTTGTACGTTATAGAGAGTCAGAGGAACACGTCCAACGTGAATAAATTATACTTGGAAGATGGCAGACAGAATATATGAAATAAGTGTTTGCATTATTCAATACACTATCATAAGTAAGAAAAACAGGTGCTTGAAAATATCTAAAAAATATCAATATCTTAAGAAAAGTCTGCCTCTTAGACAAAGGATAAAATATCATATTACAAAATTATTAGGCATAAAAATATAAAGATAAAACTTACAGTTACAAGCCTGAATATTCTTTATCATGACATTTTATCACTAAAATGTAATATGACGTAATATATCAGCTTTTGAAACATGAAGCATGTCGCTTTTCAATCATTCATTCTCACTTCTTCTTCAGATAGCCAAAGCTTAAGAACACACTGTATTCCAAATTCTTTCAAGAATTTAGGAAAAATTAAAAAAACTCGAAATCATGAAATATACACTCACCGATTACTATTTCTACTCCGGGGAAATGTCTACTCCTCAAGGAACCGGTGTCTAAAGTATCTGCTGTTATGTTTCTTGAAAGGAGGTTGAAGACGAGAAGATGGGCGTAACAGACAACAAGGAAAATCTCCAGTGTTGTGCACCATAATTCCCCAGCATATGACCACCACCTTGTAAATCTTGCCACACCTACTCTCGGTGCTTGACATAGCCGATGCGACTCACATG